ATATATATATATATATATATATATATATATATATATATATATAATGGAATCACATCAGATCCAATTTGCTCTAATGTGATCTACATATATCTAATGTAATTACAACTATTTTTTCCCGGGTGCCGTTGAGAATTGAAGTTTGTCTTATATATTTTTAATTTTTAGACTAAGTACACATGTTTACTTTTTGGAAAATTTCAATTTTCATATAAAATCTTTCTTTTTGTAGAAAAAGTACGAACTTATACTACAACTTCACAATGATTTTTTTATTTTTTAATTTTCTACGGTGACGTACTATACATCCAACAAACTGTAAAAAAAATAAAGGCAAATGTATTAATAAAACGTTTTGTTCCTATTATTTTTCATATTTTCCTCGCTATATAATATAGCTCGAAAAAAAATAAAGTAAATATCAGTATATACATTTGCCTTTATTAGTTCCTTATAGTTTCTTGGATGTATAACAGGTGACCGTACATAATTATATTATAAAAAAATCATTATGAAGTTGTAGTAGAAAAAAATTATATATATAAATACACACACATTCATCTCTCATATATACATATATATGTATGCATGTATGAGAGATGAATGTATATATATGAAAAGTATAACAGAGTAATAAAAATATATGGAAGTAGAACATATTGTTATATTGTTTAATGAAAATAACATGTACATGTCGAAAAAATGTTTAAACTGCGTCAAACATTATTGCACAAATACGCAGTATTCTTTGGATATATGGAATATAAAGCGTGGTCTACAATGGCCAGTAAGTTCTTACGCTTACTAACCAATGTAGACCACGCTTCATACAGAAAATTATACATTTTTAATATAGATTGTGTAAGTGAAAATGTAACTTATAACAACGTATGTACTTATACATTTAATAACACTTTCCTAAATATTGTTATATAAATGAGCAATAGTGTACCCACGCCTATATAATGTGTAGCTTTACTAAAACGTATAATGACATTTTCGAAACACATTGATATAAGAAAAAAATAAAAAAAATGAAAAGTAATAAAATATAAAAGTAAAACAAAATAAAAATAAAAAAGGAAATAAAAAAAGAAATATTTAAAACAAATTAAAAAATTGGATAATATATCCATGGCTTTTTGTGCGTTAATTGTCGCTATCTATTTCAGTCGACTCTTCCAATAATGACTTCTTTGGCGAATTATTTTTAGATTTTGATGTTGATGCTTGGAGCACACCTTTCTTCTCCTCTACTTTCTGTACTTTCTTGCGTGCCCCTGTTATGGCTTTATTAAATCTCTCATTTAATTTCTTCCTTTCCAGTTCTTCGTTAATGATATGTTCTGGAAGTTTACGAACTTCCCTCATCCATCGCGCGTACAGTTTCACCACTGCTGCTTTCTTCGTTGGTGTGAGCTCTTTGTAAGGAGTGTTCACAGCAGAGCGTACGACTCTATTCGATAGGACATCTATTCCCCAAACTGCATAGGACAAGCCGTTTAAAACTTTGCCATTATCCTTTTCGCGCATGATTTCATCGTATGCGACTTTTGAAATAACACTCTTGTCATTATTGTTGCCCGTGGATATGGTTATGTCAAGTGCCATAACTTCATTAACATTATTATCTGGTGACAATGTTCGTTCTACAAGTACAAGACAGATCTGTTATAATTTGTTTGTCTGAATCTACATATATAATTAAAATATATGTACCCATAGTGCCAGAAATTTCTAAAATCTATTGCATGTGAAAGCTTTCAGGAACAACTGGAAGGTTTATAAAATTACTTTATGTAAAAGGTATCAGAAATAAATCAACAGTAAGATTTCAAGTGTATTGCACATGATACATTTCAGATATGACTCAATTGAAAATTTTTTAAATTGTTTCATGTGACAGGTTTCAGAAATAATTAAAGAATAATTAAACTCAACAGAAAGTTGAGACCAATTATATTTATGTGAAACATTTCAGAAACATTTTTTTTGCAATATTTTAAATTACTTTTTGAAGAACTATTTAAGAATTGTTGAACATAAAATGTGAAAGTTTAAAATAATTTTGGAACTTTTCTGAAAGCTTTTTCAAACAATTGGTGCTGTATGGAAAGGTTGATAATATATTCAGTTAAAATGCATTTAAAACTACAATTTTGTTAATGCCTACACAATAATCGTACGTAAACGTCTCAAAATACAGATTTTTCCACGATTTCACAAAGGATTAGTAATATATGTGTACCTGAAAAGTATTATTTCATTTAACTTAACAATTTATTCAATATACCTTTTGTCTGCTTCTTTTCCAGCAGGATATCCAAGATTTGTTGTCCGGTGGCTTCTGTCAGGGGAAAAGCTTTACTTTCCTTCAGGCTAATGTATTTAGCTGACCACTGCATCTCTTTATCTAAACTCTCCTCAAAATGCTGTTGGCATATATCCCGGTCTGCTTTGCAATTCTCCAGTTTTTCTCTACATTCCTGCAGGTCTTGTTTACAACACTGGAGTTCTTTCAGGCAATTCTGAAATTTAACGTAGCAATTCTGGTCCACACTTTCCTCATGTTTTTGCCTTCCTCTATTGCTCTGCTGCACTTCTTTTTCCTACATAACAAATTGAAATATAAGCTACAATGCAAGGAAATAAGAGTGGAGAATGAATTTCATATATGAATAAAGCGAATATTATATTTAAAAAATTATCACATTAATTGTAAACAAATATTATATTAACATAAATGTTACCTCATAATTTTCATCGCAAGTCTGTACCTTTCTCAAATGAGCAGATAAAATCTTTTGGTTCATTTGTGAAGTACTTATTTCTTTAGCCTAAAATATGACAATTATGATGGGCCACTGAATGAAATTGAGTCAGTATAATTTCACATAAATAAAACATGAAAGTGTTACACCAGAAGAAAGAAGCTCTATGAAAGATACTAGAAAAGTGATACATACAGATTAACCATTCTTTCACAATAGATGTAAAAGTATTTCTTTTGCAAATGTTTTTATTAGTCTGCAATTTTAATGAAATCAAAATTCAGACTTGATAAATGTTACACAGATTTTTTGGAAATCCTTTAAAATTATTTTCCATTTCAATGTTTTTAAGCGAGAAATGTTGTATTTCAATGCTATTAATAGGAAGAGGTTTACTTGGATACCGTTCATTTAGGTAAATTGTTAACTTCGGTTCGGTTCTGTTATGTTTAATATGAAAAATTCTTTTCGTGTCCTAGAGAGAGAGAGAGAGAGAGAGAGAG